CTGGCTTCATTGACCAGCTGTAGTAAAAATTACACCCTGCTCTGAACAAAGCACCTATGTCCAAGAAGACTGGTGCTTAAAGATAAATCAAGAAATCAAGATCAAGATATTTCTGATTTGGGTATTGAAGCAAAACTAGATCGTCGCTTTTGATTTTTAAATACCGTAGGTTATTTCTGCAAACCATCTCGAATAACTCAAATTTATTGCACCATGGGGTTTGGCATGTATTCTCTTATTGAAGCGGTAGTTTTGACTTTGAATGCTGTCTGTGTTCTTCATGAAGAAAGATTTCTTGCTAAGTGTGAGTATCAAATCCAAATAGTCCTAACTCCTAAGGCTAACTTGAAATTAACTAGGTACATGATTTTGCTTCTTTTTCAACTAATTGTGTCAAAATTTTTTGCTATTGCATTTTAAATAATGCTTTATTAAGACAAAACTTTGAAATACCACCTGCAACTGCAAGGCCAAGATTTTAGTACCCATTGGCCATTGTAATTTCTGAAAAATTGAGCTAAAGCCATTAACTTATTAAGCCACTACTGGTGTCTGCGTGTGAAACAAAAATACATATACAGTATGATATACTCTTGGCCAAGTTTAGCTTTTCTTTTAGCATTCAACTAATTTTTAAGCAGAAATAAATAAAAAATAGCATTTATTGGCCTGTAATTTTCAAAAATTTCCAGTGAAAGAATCTTTTTACCCAATTTGGAATTTTTGGAATACCTATTAGGTAGAAGTTTCCTGAAATGGCAAATAAAAATGCTCATTTCTCAGATGATTTTAAAATATTACAGATGGAAATTGGCTGTTTTTCTTTCTTTGCATGAAATGAATTGGGAAAAGACCATAGAAACTAGTATGGAATATATCTACTTGGCGAGCCGCGACTGAATTTTTCAAGCCGTGGTTTTATGGATTTGCCAGCCGTGATTCCATTTCTACGAGCCGTGATTCTANTGTATAAGAGACAGCGCGTAGTGAAGTGTTTTGAGAGTCACGTGAAGGCAACAGAACTTACGTAACGCATACGTTTTTTTTATAGTTTTTCATTTCTCGATGCGTCCTTAATGTGTCGGAATATACCGCGTTTACCCTACATGTTAAATCTAGATCCCAAACTATAGTATTGGGTAGAAATAAAAGGCATTTTCCCTTAAAATTCTAATAAATAGGCCTGTCTGCTCTGCTCATATTTATTAGTTTTTTTATTTTTAAAATATGGTTTTATATCCTTAGAATGAATTTCAGTTTACTAATTGATTCTGCCTGCCTGATATATTGGATTTCAAACTGATGATGGAGCTGGACTCTAAAACAGTTTCTCTCTCACATAAACAATGGATTTTTACGCATTTGTCTTTGCATTTTACCTTTTAGTGGTTGCATGTAAAAACAGCCTAAATTGGTCATCTTATCAATTGGTTTTGCTTTAGCAACCACTGTAGGATTAAATTATTGCTAAAATTTTATTGCACATTGCTCAAGCAAGATTGGAGTTTTACTTATTTTCAGACAATATTGCAGCTGCAAATAGACACGTTTTTAACAAAATTGGAATCTTACACTCTGATCATGCACTTTTGTTAACAAGTAAATTGGTAATTCAGGTTGTTGAGCAGGAAATTGGAAATTGGCTGGTTTTTAGAGTATGTCTCATTTGTCACTAACTGCGGTCTTTTACATTTGCACTGCTGTTAGATATTTTTTTCCTGTTTGATCAACAGATTTGCTATTCAGGTGGAAAATTTTTGTCATGTTGTGTTTGCAATATTTTTATTTCATTTTAAAATATATAGCTGCCTTGTTCGCATCAGAATTGCCCTTCAATTATCTATATTTTCTCAAATGTCAGTGAATTAAAAAAAATGAAGATTTCTATAATTTAAGAAAGAATTTGCAATTCAGTTTGAAATGATCAACTACAAATTTGGCCAAGTATTATGCTGGTTTCATGGCATGCTGCAGATTAATTGGTTACCTATTATTTTAATTAGTATTTTTTGGCTTTAATTAATTGGTTTTTACTTTAATTGATTGGTCTTCAATCTAATTAATTGGTTTTAATTTTTTGAGTTTGAAATCCTTGCTTACCCATGCTGAGCTTGTTCATTTTTGCTGATACATTTTAGAACTTTGAAGTGTGCTAAGCATTCTCAGGAGTCAGCAGCAATTTTTTCAGGGAAGGTCTCACAAGATTCATTTGAGATATTTTAATAATTTTGGGCTTTTGGCTCAGATATTGTACAATTTTTTTTACTATACGTAATCTCATTTCCTATTAGATGAGTTTTTGAATGAGTGAAAGTAAAGTGGGAGTTTTTTTCCTAATACACAGTGCTATTATTATTACATTTACATAACTATCATTACATATTCCATGACAATTTCATATACAGTACTGTTATTTTATACCTACAAAAAATAAATTTGGATTATTTTAAAAAAGGTTTTTCTTGGCTACTAACTTCTACCACCTTTAATTAATTTCATGTTCTCTATTAGTCAATTAATTATGTAAATGTAAAAATACTTTTTCTTTTGCAGTACCTGGTTGGGAAAGTGCCCCTGCTGTGCCTGGTTATGGAGAAGAAGCAACTGTCAAAGCACAACTTTTCCATCTCATCCGTTCCATACGCACAGTCATGAAATGTGAGTGGAATGCTATGAAATGTTCTTACTTTCATTTATCTTGTGATGTATACGGTATGTTTTTATTTTCATTTATGCTGTGATGCATGAAATATTCTTAGTTTCATTTATCCTGTGATGTATGAAAGGTTCTCATTTCCTTTTATGCTGTTATGTATGAAATGTTCTTATTTTATTTATCCTTTGATGTATGAAAAGTTTTTATTTCAACCTATGTATAGGTATTGTAATGTATTTATACATATGGTAGGCTTACACCTGCTTCCATCCTGGGAAGTAAATGCTATGAGTGTTAAATTTTCCTAAATTTTTCATCCCTTCATATATTTGCCAAAGTAAATATTAATGTGCAAAACGTTTTGTCTATTCCAGATCCGCTGGTGCCAATGAACATCTTCATTATCATCTTCAAGCTGCTGTTTGGTTAAATTTTGTATACATGCGTTTTGATGGTTTATATTTAAATGATTTTTATTTTTATAGCAAATGATTGATGTGCAAGACATAAAGAAAATGTTTAAAAACTTGTGAATTTATCAGATTGCTTCACATTTGTTATTAATTTTGTCAAGTTCATATTTTTTCCTGTTAAATGCAAATATATCCAAGTTCATTTGAGATGCCTGAATTATCTCGTAAAACCTTTTAAAATAAAGTATAATTGCCGCTCATACGCGATTCTATCTTTTTTCAGCTTATTAATCCTACATCAGTATGAATGTTTATTTAAACTATTGACATAATTAATTTTCCTTTCATTGTTAATCCTTCTTCAAGCAACATTGCAGTAGAAAATCCAGTTTACAAAATTGCTCTATGTCAATAAAATCTTGTTGGAAAAGTATAATAGGTAAATAAAACATTTCTTAATGTTCTCACAATAAAACGCTTGTGTGTACTTAGCTGCAATAAAGACGCCAGGATAAATGATGGCGGTGTCAAGGAGACAACCACATGGAAATAATACTCACATTCTTATTCTGAGCTATATTGTATCACTCTTATGTAAATACAGAAAAATATTCAAGATGAATCTCACGGCAACTTGGTGCTTTCAAAAGATTGGAGTTATACATATCCTGCTGCTGGATAAATCCTACTTATACACTTTACTATTTTCAATGAAGATATTGCTGACATGTCAATGCTGGACCTGCTTCAGAATAGCTGCATTTAATATTTTATTCCAGTTTTACAGGCCAAATAGCTTCTTTTTTATTCTTAAACTAAATTTCCTGAAGGTTGAATCCTTTAAAATTTTGCTGCCAGAGATAACCTTCCGTTATATGCGTTTCATTTTGTAAAAATGCAACTCAACAATATAAGAAAGCATTTTCAACAAATAAGTTGGTCATTATAAGGCGAGGCAACAAATATAGCTGCCAAATGCAAAAGATGATCCCAAATTAGTCATATATGCAAAAGCTACATGCAGAAAATAGTGTGAGAAGTACAGTTGCGAGGAGAAAGTCGTCCCAAAGGAAGTATTGTTCATGTATTACTGAAAGAACATGAAATAATATGCTGGAAAACGCTAAATATAACTTTAGAACCTTTTTGAGTTTGCAGTTATTATGTTCTCCTAAGCAATGGCCAGGAATATCTATAATGAACATAAACAATATAACGCGAGCATTGATTCGCACGTTAACAAGCGTATTCAACAGTAGTGGAAAATAAACACTGAGCTGCAAAGTATAGGAAATGGTTTAAAAAATATTAAATCCAAACTAAAATCCATTTATGAACGTACAATATTCATGGGTGTTTTTTGAATCGTTAATAGTTCCGTTCAACTATACACATATATAGTTCTATTCACGCAAAAACTATACACATATAAATGAAACAAGAGAGATATTGGATGGAATAGAAGGCCAGGAATTTAGTAAATTATTTCATCACAGATGCACGATTAGTTAGACAAACGAGAATACCATCATGAACGTTTGACAACATAAAATGAGGCAATAGAGTAAAGATGCAGAAAGCGATTGACTTGAACTAAAAATGAAAATAGCGTTGTATTGATGAAAGGATAAAGAACAAACTAATATCCAATGCGCATTACAAATTTGTCAATACAGGATCCAAAATCTCGAAAGCAAAGCGGTTCATTCTTTCATTTGACACACTCGTTACGAAATGCAGTTTCATTTCAATATTTTATGAAGGGATGGTTATTGATTAACAGTGTGCCTGCGTTAGCGTTTTCTAAGTTACATTGCAGTCAATGCCTGGTATATTTACTTCAATATCTTTGTCTAATTCAGTCGTTTAATCAATTTTGGGTCGTCTAACCTATCGTACGAGTTATTGCTGGAAAAAAATTTGTAAACACAGTAAAACAATTTACGAAGTCCTAAACCTTACAATTATTGCATTACAAAAATTAATTTAAACCTTGAATCGAGAATAACCCATCTACTATAACCACCAAGTAATTACTACATAAGACAGTAAGCACCAGTTCCTTTCATTAATAGGTATATTTCACGGTTTATACCCTATCATATAGCCGAGCACAATGAAAACATAAGGTGCCTTGTGCACCCAAGTGAGAGATTCAAATATAATAATAAAATACCAATATTGAAATTTTACAGACAGAAACATATGAATGCTGTAGAAAAACCAAGTCCTCAGAAAAAAGAAAGAATGCTGGAGAAATTAATCACTTAGTAAGTTACATTCTTTTGACTTCCAAAATAAAGTAAAAAATTCTGTCAGAACTGAAGGCGAGTTTTGTAAAAATAGACGTGATTTTGTAAAAATAGACTCGAGTGTTAGAGAACTCGACAAAAATTAAGATATGTGCGTAAACTACGGGGAAAAGGAAATTCCATAGAAATGGTAACATAAAAATGAGTATTGGTAACTTGAAAATTAGTATAAAGGAATAAATGGCTTTAAAATGACGCGTCATCGGCAGATCACATTAAGAGGCCAGTCACTTGCCGACACTTAGCACTCTCAGAAAAAATGGGTAGAATTTTCCAAATATTGACACATTTTCTAGGAATAAACGGCTTTAAAATGACGCGTCATCGGCAGATTAAATTTAGGGGCCAGTAGCTAGCTGACACTTAGCACTATCCGAAAAAATGGGTAAAATTATCCAAATATTGACACATTTTCTCACCCGTAGCGCGAGCAAAAAGCCGACGTAGCTCTGATACGTCCATTTGCCGGGCCAAACTGAGTCAGGATGACGCACAAATGGGCAAAAAATATAACTCAGTACTCACTGCAGTGAGTGACAGAGAGCGCATTTTCTCGTCGACGAAAACTTGAGGTCACGGACGGACGGACGAACATACAGACAGACGGACATGGCGAGCACAATAGTGCATTTTTTTCCATAAATGAGAAAATGCGCTAAAAATGCATCTATAATTGCACAAAGTGCCTCTCTTTCCTCTAGAGTGCAGCTAGCAGACAAATACCTTAATATGTTGAAGTGCACTATTCAAAGAAGCGCATTCATTTGTCATAACTTATTATCAGTCAACGAAACGTTCGAAAATAAAAAGTTAGCAAAAAATCCGTTTTCTGTGCATTTATACCGATACATAATCTCTGTCATTAAGGATTTTTTTCATTGGATAATTGATACACAGCAAAAAAATTACTAAAATAAATGATATATGCGTCATACATTTTCATGCCAGAACCAAAAAAGAACAATAATTCAGCAAAATACATGTTCTTTAAACACGAGTCGTCTTTGCATTTATACCGATATATAATCGATTTTCTAATTAGATAACTCGATACATAACAAAAAATTACCAGAAAAAAATGATTTAAACGGCATACATTTCTATTCCAGAACCCAAAATAAACAAATAATTTTAGCAACAGCATCATTGATATCGCCTGTATATTCATCCATCAACATAGGTAGATGTATCATTATTATAACCAAAATCCTTGTTATCGCCTGTATTGTTATCACTAGCATGTCATCCAGCAACATACATGTATCATTATTCTAACCAACATCATTGTTATCGCCTGTATATCCATTCAGCAACATAGACGTATCATTATTTTAACCAACATCATTGTTATCGCCTGTATATTCATTCAGCAACATAGATGTATTATTATTTTAACCAGCATCATTGTTATCGCCTGTATATTCATTCAGAAAAATACATCCATCATTATTCTAAGCAGCAACATTATTTTAACTTGAATGAATCCTTGGTGCATTGACCGCACGTATTGCATGAAGCAGAGACCTGATATGTAGTTAGGCTTCCTCTTAAGAAAAATTACAAGCTAATTACCATCTCATTAAAGACAGCCCATAATCAGATGACAGCATGACCATTAATGAGCCATAATCGCTAATGAGTCACATTATGATCACTAATGAATCGCATTAAAGACAGCCCATAATCAGATGACAGCATGACCATTAATGAGCCATAATCACTAATGAGTCACATTATGATCACTAATGAATCCCATTAAAGACTGCCCATATTCAGATGACAGCATGACCATTAATGAGCCATTATCATCGCTAATGAGCCATCAGCGCTAATGAGTAACATTATGATCACTAATGAGTAATTAATATTAGCAAGACACTAGCATGTCACTAGTAAGTGACTGCCTCGTGATCCTTAGTATAACAGCTAGCACGTAATTATCACATCACTAGCACTTTACTAGCAGGCCAGTAATACCTAGTAGTAATAACTAGTAGGTTACTAGTAACTAGCAGGCCAGTAATACCTAGTAGGTTACTAGTAACTAGCAGGCAGTAATACCTAGTAGTTAACTAGTAGGTTACTAGTAACTAGCAGGCAGTAATACCTAGTAGTTAATTAGTAGGCAATAATACGTAATACTTAACTAGCAGGCAATAATACCTGGTAGTTAACTAGTAGGCCAATATTACCTAGTAGTTAACTTGTAGGCTAATAATACCTACTAGTAGTAATACGTAACTAGTAGGCAATAATACCTGGTAGTTAACTAGTAATAGGCAAATAATCCCCACTAGTGGCAACTAGTAGGCTACTAGTAACTAGTGCCGCCCATGATGGCAGCTTTAATGGCGCTGACGTACTGGGCGGGCACCCAGTAGAGCCAGTAGCGGGAGGCCTCCGTGGGACCCAGCTGCAGGCCCTGTACACAGTATATACTGGTGAGTGTTATACATGTAATATGCAATATATACAGGTGAGTGTGATACCTATACCTAATATACAATATGAATATATACAGGTGAGTGAAATACATTTAATACATAATAAAATAAAAACATAACAATACACTGTAATAAAAATATGTAAATATCAATGCTAATAAAACTGTGTCAGACAGTGTGTTCATAATGAATGTACAGTCTACCGTGTGTGACTTAACTAACAATAATGTATTAATAATGCACCGTATTAAAAATGAATATCAATACGAATAACACGGTATATGTCTTTACAAAGAACAACGTAATAAAAATATACCGTATTAAAAATAAATAGCCAGAGAAATAACACTGAACCTACCATACAAGGCTGTGTGTTATTACATTATATACATTACACTAAAATATGGTGCTCAGGGATATGGTACTCAGGGATATGGTACCTACCTTAATATGGTACTCAGGGATACAGTACCCACCATAATATGGTACTCAGGGATACAGTACCCACCATAATATGGTGCTCGGTGATATGGTACCTACCATAATATGGCGCTCAGGGATATGGTACCAAACCATAATATGGTACTCAGGGATATGGTACCTACCATAATATGGTACTCAGGGATATGGTACCAGGGATATGGTACCTACCATAATATGGTACTCAGTGATATGGTACCTACCATAATATGGTACTCAGTGATATGGTACCTACCATAATATGGTACTCCTCTCTGCCCACAATAGGTTCGGACACAACATTTCTGATGCTCGCCATGTTGATCTTCTCGGTGCGCTGCTTGGTGCCTAGCCACACCTGCAACATTGTTAACTGGTTATTTATCCTAATTATGATGATAATATTAATATATATTGATTTAAATATGAAATGTTTAATACTGATATATAATGTATTAGTGCACAGTTTGGTACCTACCTAGCCACACCTACAATATACACGAATTAATATCTTTACATATAAACAACTCAATAAATAAATTTTATCTCATGAAGCGTTGATTGTAACATAAAATCAACTTGTGTGCAATCAGGTATAGCATGGAACCTATTATAGATCACCTGCATATAAATTGTAAACAATAATTCATAATATTGAAGCATACGCGTGGAAATGAAAAAATTAGTAGCACTCATATTGGCATAAAAAAATTATTTATATTATATTAATAAAAAAGAACTGTAGCACTCGAAGTTGTATCAATAAGAAAAATATATAACACTCATATTTTATGGAATTATACATACATGGATTCACATTGTAACATTGTATGGAGTACAACATTCAAAGGCAAGAGTTTGATGCACAAGTTGCAGCACTCACCTGATCAAGTTCAAGTTTGAACGTAAGTCTAACTTTGCCCCCCAACTTGTTGAGCATCCCGGCTATGGGGTGAGGGGGGAGAGGCTCCTGGTGAGAAATATGTAATCAGTTAATTAATAATATGCAGCTAATTAATTAATTAATAATTCAACTACCGGTATTTAATTATCAATTTAATTAATTAATTAATAATATGTAGCTATTTAATTGATAATATGTAATTAATTATCAATTAATATTTAAATAATTAATTTTAAATAATTAAATTTAATTAATAATTTAAATAATTAATTAAATGTAATTATGGTAGGTATTGATAATAATATAATCTATAATGTAATTATGGTATAATCAATAATAAAGTAATGTTTCCAATAAAACTATAGCTATTTGTTCTATACCGGTATATAAGAACACGAATAAGACCTATAAGGTGCGTATATCAGACTATAATATTGCTCAAGAATAATAGAGATTCTCGCTATAGACTCATATATATTTATCTAAAATATATTCATCGCTATATACGTTTTCAATATCGATATGGTGAATTTTCTTGGCGTTTTCTTTGCTTTTAAATTCCTTGTCATCTAAAACATAAAACATTGCAGATGTTTTTTTTAGTACACATAAAAGAAGCAATGCTTCAAGTACACACAAAAGTAGCTCAACTTCATGTACACACAAAAGTAGCAATGCTACAAGTACACACAAAAGTAGCTCAACTTCATGTACACACAAAAGTAGCAATGCTACAAGTACACACAGAAGTAGCAATGTTCCAAGTACACACTATTGTAGCTATGCTATGTAACCAGACTTCATGTACACGCAGGACGTACATGTCTGTCTTTGATACCAGGATGTACGTCGTCAGGAGGCCCTTTTTCTAAGGCTTTCTGGTGGATCTTTTGGGTGCTGAGGGAGGAGCTGCTGCTGGGGGCGCTGCTCGTGCTGCTGCTGCTGCTGCTTGCCGTCTGGAAAAGAAATTAGAATTAAATAGCCGCGCCAATAAAAATACATTGAAATTCCATGACATTAAACATGTGGTTTTAAAAGAACAAAATAGGCTAACAAATGAGATTAATTTCATGCATGTTATTGTAATTAAATGGAGGCAGCAATAAAAATACACTGAATAATCATGGCACTAAATATATTGTTTGCGACAATAAAAATATACTGAATAATCATGACACTAAATATATTCTTGTAAATATACCGTACCACATAGGTTAACAAATGAGATTTAACTTCATGCATAATTATGCAAATGAAAATATTTTGTCTAAAATGATACAGCAACACAGATTATAAATCTAACATGTCAATAAAAGGATGTATTGTTATTACCTATATAACATTTATTAATAGAATTTTCGGGCATCAATTATTAAATATATCATCATTATAAATATATAATCATCATAAATAAATTACTATCATAAATAATCATCATAAATCACTGATGACTGACAGCAGAGAGCTTGTCCACTTTGATGGTGATGACTTCATCAAACTTGGAGCCTACAACCAGAACCTTGGTGGTCTTGGTGACACCGAGCTCAGCCAGCGTCTTGTCGTTACCAGCCAACCCCTTCACCATCACCTTCTGCATTGATGGTATTACATCTGCAAATAAATATAACTCAGTACTTCACCATCACCTTCTGCATCGATGGTATTACATCTGCAAATAAAAATAACTCAGTACTTCACCATCACCTTCTGCATCGATGGTATTACATCTGCAAATAAAAATAACTCAGTACTTCACCATCACCTTCTGCATTGATGGTATTACATCTGCAGATAAATATAACTCAGTACTTCACCATCACCTTCTGCATTGATGGTATTACATCTGCAGATAAATATAACTCAGTACTCACTGCAGTGAGTGACAGAGCGCGCATTTTTTCATAGACAAAAACTTAAAGTCACGGACGGACAGACAGACGGACGGACGGACAGACGGACATGGCGAGCACAATAGCGCATATTTTCCAGAAATGAGAAAATGCGCTAAAAAGTCTAGTATAAATAAAATTCGATAGTATAACTAAAATTCAACAATAGTCAAATATTTTGTCAAATATTAATAATAAAAAATAAATGCAATAGTCAAATTTTTGAGTGTTTATGAAATATTCCAGTCCACTTCTGAATCTAGGGCATGGAATTTGTGAAATATGTGAAAGGTTAGACAAGCATTAAATATGAAGCATAAAAATGTGAAAGATCAGACTAGCATGGAACTCATAATGCAGGTCATTTAATATTTTCTAAATGACAACGGACTGAAACTTTACAAAGAAATTATTTACAGTTTACAATTATTATTTACTATGTATATTCATTCAACTATTAACAAGCAAGAAAAACCATGCTACATATTAAGGATTTGAAAATGCTTTTCCACAGAAATCTAAAGCTCATGCATGGTCAACTATAGCAGAGCTGCCACCTTTTAGTACTGCCTGTACCTGACCACCTCTTAGTGCTGCCTGTACCTGACCACCTCTTAGTACTGCCTGTACCTGACCACCTCTTAGTCCTGCCTCTACCTGACCACCTCTTAGTCCTGCCTGTACCTGACCACCTCTTAGTACTGCCTGTACCTGACCACCTCTTAGTCCTGCCTGTAGCTGACCACCTCTTAGTCCTGCCTGTACCTGACCACCTTACTCTTACTCTTACATTGCTGTTTTACTTATTTGATAAAATGGTCTCTGAGGAAGACCTAATTCCAATACAAACACCTTTTTTATTAAATAAATTCAACTCACCTATCATAGGAGCCAGATGCTGTTTGAGTTGTTGAATGGTGCTGGATGCTGGTAATTCTACATCATATTTTTTTCTATTGAATATAACTTTGAAGGCTATTTTCTCTTCTGATTCTTCAGGTGCTACTGAGGCAAGGGTATCACTTCTACTTGCTGACTTCTGGAATTATAAAACAAACCATGAAATCACAATAATAAATTTCATATAATACTAATAAGTCATTTTCACTTTAAATAGCAGAAACAAAGGATGAAAAGGTTTAAATTTTTAATTACATACAATGCAACAGTAGAGATATTATTTTTGTAGGTAAGGCTTGAATGCACGCACGTTCACTATTTGAATTATAATAGCTTCACAGGAAATAATTATGAGAAAATAAAATATATGATGGTGTTGATTATAGTTAGGAATACCACTAGGTATAGAAAAGTAAATTATACAATTTGTTTAGAACACAGATAATTAGCTAGGAGCAAATTAAGCTATGTTAATATTTTTATCAAAAAAGACTATGTTATCTTGAAGAAATAACAATGAATGACTTATATACCATGGAAAAAATTTCATACCTCATCTGTTTCAGAATCTGCGGTAGGCTTCTCCTGACTTGACTCAGGTGGGTCATTTGTTTCCATATCAGCAGAAGACTCTAATCTACAGCAGCCTTCATTTGAAGCTGGAGAATTACTAGAGTCTTGTCTGTCTGCATTAGCGGAGCTTTTGTCACTGGAACTTGCTACAAGTGATGGACTGTTCTCCATGTCCGTGGTGCTGCTGGTTGTTGCAGGAGACGGGGGCTCGGGACTTGTCGTGGTTGTTGCAGTCGTGTGATTTGATTTGGAGCCACACTCTGTCGGCTTCACTTCTTCAGCTAGTTGTAGGTCAACGTCTGGAATTTGATAATATCACAGTTTTGAATATAAATGTCTTGAGCTTATTAAACAAAAAATTTTAAGATTGAATTTAAATTAAAGTTGGTTGAAGCTAAGCATATTAAAAAGAAAAATTTCTGAGACTGAATTTCAATTGAGAGTGGATTGAAGCTAAGCATATTATAAAGCCAGAATGTTGGATCAAAAATTATAATTTTAAACTGAACTATTTTATGATTTATTGCAAGATAGGATGTTGTTTATAGATACGTACATAAAACATAAAAATACTGATCATTCATTTGGTTTATTTCATTGTCATTGTTCAATGTTTATTGATGATAAGTTTAGATGCATTACACAATGCCATCAAACAATACAGAAAAATTCAGATTTTCAATAAATACCACTGCTACCAAATCATATATACTGCCAAACGGGGTAATAAGGGACAGGCGGGGTAATAAGGGACAGTCCTCTGACATTTTGTAGAAATGTTGTAGCAGCAAAACTAATTAAAATATTGCAAAACAAAAAATAGTAGCATGAAGTTCAATATTTTTCCTATCTATGTAGCATAAAGCAAGTTGGGAAATCATACATTTACTACCTCTAATAAATCCTTGAAAAAAAGTGTGAAAAGTGAGATTTTGAAAAGTACCTCTGCTAAGGTCTGTAGCAAGAAAAATATTCTCCATAATAAAAATTTTTACTTACATAAAAGTTGCACACATGTGTTGGCTTAAAAATGTGATTGACAGAATTAGCATATCTCATTCCAGAAAAAATGGCAGCCATTTCCGCATGATGGGGTAATAAGGGACACCTCTAAAAACGCATTTACAGTAGAGCCTTGCTTAGCAAAGGCTCTAGTTAACAGAAAAATCAATTAGCAACAAAGAATTTTGATCAGATTTACCTTGCTCAGCAAAAAAAATTTCACTCAACAGAAAATTAATGCATCATCAGTCATAACAAAGTTGTGCATAGAATGTCGTAGATAGAATTGTTCACTGGGCAACACAGAATGAAAAAGTAATTAACCTAAACTATGATATTTTTCTCAAAAAATATGATGGTTGACACTAAAAAAATACTTTGTGTTTCAGGTATGTTTTTTACAATATTTTTTTTTACAGTGAATTCATGCGACTCAATTAAAATGATGCGAAATTACAAGCCGTCCTGTAAGCTTACCTACAGAAGAAATTATACATGGCTGCTGATATGAAGCTTGCAGTGGACAAGGTTGTTGTAAATGCTCAATGGCATGTTCATGGATATGTTAATATCACATCAATAATACAGTAATGTAGTAATATGGTAATATCATCTCAATATAGGAAAAACAAGTAAAAAATCTCAGAAAATGTTATTTATTCTACATCTACATCATTCACAAAGGGAGAGGAAGACTTCAGAATACTGTTAGTAATGGACGAGTACACTTTGCATGCTTCAAACATTTTAAAATTGAGTTTTATTTCAAGTGTTCCTTATTACGCCGTTCCCATGGCTAGTTCAGGAGGCTTTCATTTTGCGTCTGGCACCTTATGAATAGCATATGGAATTTTTTTCAGAGATGCCATACGATAGCCCTCGCAAATACCTTTAAAATGAGCCTAAACTTGTTTACGAAATGTTTCATGGTAAGAAGTTTTTAAGGAAAAAATCTCAAAACCATCCCTTATTACCCCGTTTGACTGTAGCTATATTAACACGTTGACTACGTATTGGTACATATGCGTACCACGAAATGTATTTATCCAGGAGGTAGTGGTACAAAATTCAGGTTGCCTAAAATCGGCCAAATCCGAGAACAAAAAAGGCCAAAAAAGGCCGATAATTCAATGTATACTGGTTTATTTGTAGGTTCCGCTATAAAAATTCCATTTGATTTCTTTTTGCAGTATTTAAAATTTAATTAGGAAGTACCCCTATCATAAATTTTAGCCGGCCAAAGCAATTGAGAAAAACTAAATCACGGAATTTGTACGGAAAAAATGACCGTCTGGCAACCCTGCTTAAAAAAAAGTACAAAAAATGAAATAATTGTACAAGATGAAGCAATCGTAGTCAACGTGTTAATATAATTTTACTTGATTTGAAAATTCACAACTTTAAAGTTATGTACGGTAGGTATATTAATTAGAAAAATAAATTGGTAATTCTGTAGTTTAGTACCATAATTTTCCTAAAATATTATGTATCCAAAACAAATTTTTTTTCTTATTCTCACTGTTGACCTCATTTCAAACAGCAAGCAATTGCTAAGTTTACTCCAAAGTAGAAAATTAGCCAGAAGCCTTAACTTAAAAATCAGACAAAAAAGCACACAAATCTGGCCATTTTTACCCTTTTCTATGGCTTTTTCCAATTTCGTCATAAGTAAGAAAAACTACCTATCTATTTTAACAGGCAATTTTTAAAAATCACCTGTGAAACAATGGTTTTCATCTGCCATTTCAGGAAACTTCTGCCCATTATTCCAAATTTGTGCCTCAACAGGCTGCAGTTGGAGAATATATACCTACCTATATATCTACATTACAAATCACAACTAACATAGGTACATGCCAATAATATCATGGACCTAGAATAATAGTAGTAGTGGATTAGTGGTATAATGGTTTCCTAGCACATCAGCATTCAGTTATTGAGCTATTTTTGCACCAGAGGTCAAAAAATAATATTGCAAGCAAGGGGGAAGGTCTCAATTATTCAAAACCTCAAGTTAATTGTCATTTGTCACCCACAAGAGGCAGAAGGTTTCAGATGTCCAGCCCAGTGAGCCCGCTGCAGCTGGCTTGAAAGAAGCAGCGTTAGCATCTCAAAGAGACGAAGTGACAAGGAGGGACAGGTGAAAAGCAACAGCAACTAAGACACTGCAACAACAAGAGGTTGCTTATACAGGACGTCAGCTGCCCGCACAAGAGAGACAGAGAAGGGAAATGTAAGGAATCCTACTGCTACCTACATATTAATTTGACCCCGCAACTGAGACCCGCAGTCAGACACTGCAAGCTCAGCAGTGGGGCGCTCAGGAACAATCTTCCAAGGAGCACAAAATTTCATAGGACTTCTGATGAGCACAGACACATGTCAGAAGTCCCCACTCCCCTGGGCAATAGTGGCAAAGCAGAGAGTTTTTTAGACTCTCCCTCAAGTTCAATTTTAAGTACTATAAGTAATAAGTAGACCAGTAAAGTATCATGAATACCGTAAAATGGGGTAACTTTGACCACTTTTTTTTTCAAAATGATGCCATTTTTTTACTAGATAAGTTAAACTTAAATTGAAACATGCAAAATACAGGTCTATACTCTAGCTTCACTCACCATAAATTGCTGGCTCCTTTTTACACTGTAATTTTAAGTCTTGGTGCAGAATTCGCCTAACTGTGCGATCGGAAATTCTAAGCGCAGATGCATGTTTTCGTGCGGATCGCTTAGGTGATTGCAAAACCGCCTGCCTTACTCTCTCGACATTTTCTGGCGTCCTAGTGGTTTTGGAAGGAACTAGAAAAGTACACAGAGACTGCGAACGCGCGCTCCTCTCTCGACCACTGCATGGTCGCAACTGAACTGAGTGGACGAAAAACTTCATAGCCCGCGCACCATATTGCGCATGGCGCCACCTTCCTAGGACTAATGGCCGCCACGTGGCGCGCAATTCAAATAAGTAAGTTCCCGCGCCGCACCCTGTAGGACTAAAAAATTAACTTGAGGGAGAGTCTAAAAAACTCTCTGCTTTGCCACTATGGACTGCGGTACCGTAATGGCATAGCCTATTTGATGAAAAATATAAGAAATGTTTCAAATTTTCAAAATAGGGCTACCGGTACCTAACAGGCTAACATGAGTTTATGGGCTATGGCTCAAAACTTTTTTCAAAAAAGCTTGTTAAATAAAAGTGCATTTAGTAGAAAAAATATTAGGATACCGTATTGATTTAGCCGCTACCTACCTATTCTGGCTATTCACATAGAACTTTAGAAATATTATCAAATATATTAGTTAAATATAGTTTAAACATATTATGCAAATTTTAATTCAGGAATCAGGAGTAGTTTCTGACTCAAATTCAAAACCATTCATTAGGCATACCTACCTATTTAGGTATCTACACAAATGAATCCATCTTCTGATATTTCTCAGAGAATTCAAGTTATGGGCTACTTTAGGTATGAAAAAATAATATCTCCCAATCTCGGCACGTTTATTCTATTGATGAAAACATTTACATAGTAACATAGGACTGATTGGATCATTCACATCAAACAATTCACATAAGAGTCTCATGTCATGTCATAGAAGATTAGAAGGAAGTCTCATGTCATGTCCGAATCCGATACAGTCCGAAGTCGCAATTCGTAACGTAGTATACAGTAACTAGTACAGGCTACTAAGGCCTACGCCCTACTATATGCGTATAGAGGTGAATTCAAGTATAGACTATACATAGAGTTAAACTCTAGTGTAATTTTCTTACTTACCAGCGTCATCATTAGCCATTGTGAATTTTTGTGATTAACTATTCAGTATACTAAAGTCTATTCTACGAGGCAAAATGTTTGGATTACGACTTTCAATTCCTCATGAATGGTTCGTGGCAAACAAGTTTTCTGACACAGCTGTTTACAACAGCTCAACTCAAAGGCGCCTCAGTGAGGTATTCTGTCGTCACTAATTTGTAAGGTACAAGTGATTGCTGTGCACAAGATTCGGCCAACACTGCATTACTTAGATATTCACATTTTTTTATTTATACTGAAGTATGCAGAAATTTTTTTAGGACAAAACTGATGTAAAAGAAGAAAATTAAATTTACTAAGTATTTTTTGTGTAGAGAGTAAGGTTTTGTGAAATATCGCATATCGTGAACGCAAGCATAAGGGCCAGCAGGTCAGTCAGGATGCAAGTTCGTCAGCAGAACTCGCAGCAATCACACTGTGTACCTTATTCGTTCGTCTCTTGCTCAAGAATTGATTATTGTGAAATGTGAAGCAACATTATCTAGTATTCTATAGCGCGCAAATAATTTTTAGGAAACGATCGATTTCGTTGAATGCAGTATAATTTTTCGAGAAATTAAATATCAGCCCGTAATAAAATGATAGGCTTTGTTATCAGAATTCGTCTAGCCTAGTATGTTGATTCTGACTTCAGAGTTATGCAGAAGTTTTGTTTTAGTGACTCAGATATTGTCATGGCAGACATGGGCACATGGCTCAAAATTCTCTTAGGAAAAACCTCTTACGCAATGCAATTTCCTTGTCGAGTTTGTACCAATGTACTCATACTTCATAGTATAGAGTGTAAACTGTAAAGTGGCAGCCTTAGTGTGGCGGACGGCGGTTAGTCTTAGTAGGCCTAGTCGTTAGTGGCTATACTACAGAGTACAGACTATAGTGGAATATTGCAGAAAAGTGTGCATGATAAACTTTTTGACAATTGAGCCATCCTTACTCCTTCATCCTTGCTTCCTTGGTCACTTTTCCATTGCTAGCTACTAAAATGAGCTATATGTACATTTATTTGAATTTTGAAAAATCCATTGAAGGCCTAATAGATATTAAGTAAAAGCAATGCCTGATGGTAAAGTTCAGTTATTTATTTGTAATTTGTATAATAATAATAATATTAAATATCCCCCAGGGGGGCGGGGGCGGGGGGCATGGGGGCATAGTGGCAAACCAGAGCTTTTTTAGAATCAGTTCATTTTTAATTTCCTCATTTACTCAAGCTTTAAGCCAATTTCTCAAGTATGATAATGCTGGTATGAGTGGTATCCATGATACTTTGCTGGTTTACTTATAGGACTCAAAAGTGAACTTGAGGGAGAGTCTAAAAAACTCTCTGCTTTGTCACTATGCGTGGGGGCCAGGGCCCCAGCGGCCCAGCCTCAGACCCAGGCATGGAATATATCTACTTAGCGAGCCGTGACTAGATTTTTCAAGCCGTAGCTTCATGGCAATCATGGGTTTGCCAGCTGTGTTTCCATTTCTTCAAGCCTTGGCTTCATGGGTTTGCCAGCTGTAGCTAATTTCATTTCTTTGAACTGTGAATTCTATATCTTGGCCGTGAAAAGCCATTTATGACCTGCAAACTTGTTATTCACAATCACAAAGTCCCATCACGATCACATCACTTCCATCATGTCCCATGCATATAAAGACCCATGTTATTTACAAAGTCTCACACAAAAAAGTCACTAGCATTTGTCACCACTTAGAAGTTAGAAGGCTTAAGCGGCAACTGTACAAGTGATAATGCAGTATGACCATTCTGACGTTACCGGCTTAATGCAACTACGCAATCTTCACAAAGGAAATGTTTGGAGTAGACTTGTTATTACATTCTGCATGTTAATTTGGCAGGAGGCAAGGGCATTGAAGAACCTATTTATAGCTAGCCTACTGTGGATTGCAACAGTTGAAAATTTTATTAAACAACATGTTTGCAAAGTGCAAACTGCAATTTTTTCAATCAAACAAAAATTTATGACATTTGAAGCTTAGAGCTGCGAGATTTCATACCTACTGATATTATATGATAGGTATTAGAGCTGCAATATTTCAGAAAAAATAGGACTTTTCCAGTCCTGCTCAGACCTGAATATACCAACAATCTAAAAATTTTGTAAACAAGTTCATTTTTAATTTCCTTATTTACTTAAGATTTAAACCAATTTCTTATTTATGATAAATTGATAATGCTGGGATCCATGATCATTTACTGGTCTACTTATGGGGCTCAAAAAATGAACTATGGGGAGAGTATAAAAAACTCTCTGTTTTGCCACTATGGACCTGAGACCTCAGTGGCTCAGACTCTCAGTCTGACTGTCACTCTCCATTCCCCTCAGGGGGGACTTCTGACGGGTGTCTGTGCCCGTCAGAAGTCCTATGGGATTTCGCGCTCCTAGGGGGATTGTTCCTGAGCGCCCCACCGCTGAGCTCGCGGTGTCTGACTGCATGTCTCAGTTGTGGGGTTAAGTTATTATGTAGGCAGGATTCTTTACATTTCCCTTCTCTGTCTCTCTCTGGGCGGCCGACGTCCCGTGTAAGCGACCTCTTGTTTGAGTGTCTTTGTTTCTGTTGCTTTTCACCTTTCCCTCCTTGTCACTTCGTCTCTTTTGTGATGCTAACGCTGCTTCCTTCAAGCCAGCTTCAGCGGGCTGGACATCTGAGACCTTCCACCCCTTGTGGGTGATGAATAATTGAGACCTTCCACCTCAATGGTGATGTTCATCTTGACTTTCGGTGCGAGATAGCTTAATAGCTGAAGCGCTAGTAAACATTTGGCCACTAAACTAACTAACTGTCGCTCTCCAGACTCCAGTAATATCTTTTTATAAAATATAACAACTATTATTTGAACAAGTACCATAAAATGGGGTTACTTTGACCGGTGGGGTAACTTTGACCACTTTTCATTTTTTTTAACAAAAACCCCCAAAACTCAAAAACGATTTGACATAGAAAAATTTTGTCAATGGCCATCAAAGGCCTAATACTGAGGCTATGTAACACAATAGAAAGATTTAAAAAGTTTGCATATCTAATAGGTTAAAAAATTAATAATGTGACCCACAAAAAAGAGCTATTATTTAAAGCCTGTCGGAGTACCCCGTCCATTTTTTTTATTTTTTGGTAAAATAACTCCAGGTTTTGATGCATTGTAGTAGAACTCTTCTAGTTACATATGCAAAAGACAAATTTTAGGAAAGTGTCATAGTTTGCAAATAGGGGGCGCTGCCCCCCAATGGGGGAGCTTTGACCACCTAATGGCAGCCGTGATGGGGTAACATTGACCAGCTAGGAAATTAAGTTAAAATTATCATAGGTACCTATATAGCATATTTTATGTTTGATACACCTATTAATGTTTTTTTCTTTATGTTTCAGACTCTACAGAGTCTTATATATGGTAATTTTAACTTAATTTCCAAACCGTGTTTCAGACTCTACAGAGTCTTATATATGGTAATTTTAACTTAATTTCCAAACCGGTCAATGTTACCCCGTCACGGCTGCCATTAGGTGGTCACATTTGGCCCATTGGGGGGCAGTGCCCTCCATTTGCAAACTATGACACTTTCCTATAATTTGTCTTTTGCATATGTAACTAGAAGAGTTCTACTACAATGCACCACAACCTGGAGTTATTTGGAGTTATTTTACCAAAAAATAAAATTTATTTTACCACCCGGTCAAAGAAACCCCAAGAGCTGGGGTAACAAAGACCATCACTTTTTTTGAAATTACATCGAAACTATGAGAGGCAGGAGCCAGCAATTTATGGTGAGTAAAGCTAGAGTATAGACCTTTATTTTGCATGTTTCAATTTAAGTTTAACTTATCTAGTAAAAAAATGGCATCATTTTGAAAAAAAGGGGTCAAAGTTACCCCATTTTACGGTACCATTTCTACATGTAGGTATATTTTTAGAATGCACACATGGCAGCTAGTCAATGCAAAGGAGCTTGTCTTTTTGGTTTTGATAATTTGTCTGACTTAGAGCTTGAATTTTAGAGCTTTATAAGCTCATTGTAGTCCTGAGGTGCTAGATTGGAATTTTCCTATTTGTGAATGAAACATCATGGCTTCAAAGACCACAGTGATGAATTTTTGATAAATTTTGAATCTTGCAATACAATCATGGAGTTTTAATAACAATTAAATTTAAGATGATTCATCTAACAGGAATTTTGATTGAAATATTAACTTTACTAACCAGTTGCTGCTAGATATAGGTACTATATGAATGGTATAATTTTTTGGTAGATATATTCCATGCTGGCTGAAGCATTTATAAAGTAGGTAGGTATATATTTTGGGTGGTTAAGCCATGAGTGATAAGGTACCTATATATACCTGCCAAGATTATCATGTTCATATTTTCTTGTAGTGTTAATGTCTATTATATATCTATACCACATCTTTCAGGATGCTGTTTAATTGCTAATCTTCCATTAGTGGTGGTTTTGATTATTGCATTTCTATTGTGTTCACCTCAAAAGTTCTGTTATTTTTGTAGCTATTTAGAGTTAGTCTCAGAAATGCCTGATGAGCCTGGAAGTTATGTGTCGGGTGTGCCTGTGCGCATTAGCGAGGCATTCCGCCCTCCCCGAAAAGTGACTCTTCCTTCTTCCTGTCCACATGCTGTTGATGCTGAACTTCTTACAGAGGAAGTGAGTGGCTTGAATGAAGCATTAAAGTTAGTGCAAAATTTCATTTTACTTGTTAATGAATATAATTTTAGATGAATTTTTTGTCTTAAAATTTTTTTACATGTAATGAAAATTTTTACACATCCATTTATAACAATTCTTTCAGATATTTGGTATATCAATAATCAAAGTTAGCAAATAATATATTCATAGGTACACATTCATACATTGATATATTTCCACTTATCCATACTATGATTGTTTTGTACCAATGACCTTTGTAGAATTGTAAAAAAATTTGAAAAGAACTTGACCTGGCTGGTCGTAACCCCTGTAGAAAGGTGACTAGCAATATAAAGAAGTGTTTTATACCCACTTAATCCTATCGCTAACCCTATCCTAACAAATTTGGCATTTTCTAGAACGCCCAGTAATGTAGTTATTTTTTTTTTTCTTTCATATTTTAAGTGTAAACTAGTTTGAGTGCATTACCAGACGGGATTTTGTCCAAATTTCTAACCCCTGTCTGGAAATGATACCAATCCATTCTGGCTATTGACTAATTGTCAAAAATATGTATAACTTAATAGTAGTGGGTATATATAAATAACCAAATGAAATGTATAAAACTTGTCAATTTTTGTTAAATGTGCAAATTTTTGGTGAAGTAGCATAACTGAGGTGAATGACATTGTCTAAGGTATCAGGAAAATGCTGCATCATGTTTCCTTACATTGATAATGTCTGATCAAATTTGTTTGCTAAATTTAATTTTATTAGTAATATTTTCAGCTTATCATAACTGCTTTTTGTTTTAGAAGAATTCAATAATCTAATTATAGCTCATGTATGTTATTTTCATTCATTGTTGTTTATATTTTATACATATGGTATTTTATATTTTATTTCCTTTATATTTCATTTCCAGTATGATGTGACAGTCGAGACAGCTGCCATCTCTTGGATTGAAGACTATCATCAGCGCAAGGAAGAGAGCGCAAACAAAAGACAGGAGAATGTCAAGATTTACAGGCAGCGCAAGATTCAGCGTAAGGCCCAACTTGAAGAAGAAATAAAGCAAAAGGAGGAAGAAGATGAGAAAAGAAGGCAAAAGGAATTGGAAGAGGAAGAAGAAAGGAGACGGCTAGCTCGTATTGAGGAAGAGAAACTGGAAATTGAAAAGGAACGAGCTGAGTTAGCTAGACTTAGTGAGGAAATGTTGGAAAAAGAGAAATTGGAGTTTATGCGTCTGAAGAATGAAAAGCTTGAAAAAGAAAGAGCTGAGAAAGAAAAAGTTTTAAAAGAAAAAGCAGAGCAGGAACGAATGGAACAAATTAATATGGCAAGGTTAACCAAGGAGAGTGTGAGGGAAAAAATATCTTGTGTTATAGATACACCAAATGCAAATGATGAGTCAGTCAATAATTCAAATGTTGTTTCTAGTGCAACAATGGCTGATGATGACACTGAATCGGAAATATTCCCGCAAGACTTGAGTGTTAAGCCTACAGACAATGCTGATCTTGTTGGGTGCCAAGATGACTTGGATCGAGAAAAATCAGTATCTCGTGATAAGGCTGTAGAATCTTCTACAAAAACTACATCATTTCCATGTTCAGTAAGCAATTCTGTGGCAGATCCCCAACTTGCTTCTACGTCATCAAATCTTGCATCTCAGGCACAAAGAACAATCCCTGAAGTGGGAGGAAATTCAACATTGATAAACTTTGAAGATTTTGAAGCTGATCGGAATGATCCATTTGACAGGGCTACACTTCAGAGCATCAATGACATGGAAGAACTGGCCCAGGTTCTGCAGTCAACTAGCGTATCTTCACAACAATGTAGTTCCCAAACTCAGAACTTGTTTTATCCTGATACTCACAAGTCTGGCAGTCCTGTGAAATCATCTGTGGCAATCATACCTGGCATGACTGCTTTCAGCAACTTCTCTCAGTTTGCTAATAATTCATTTTATCCTCGTGGACAAGTTCAATTTCCACCTGATACGTCTATGAATATCTACCCTTCAAATCAGTTCAGCTCTTCTGATAATGCAGGATTATCTAATGCACCACCCAATGTAGATCCTTCAAATGCATCCTCTCATATAGGATCTTCAAATGCACGACTGGATGCAGGATCTAATGCATCATCATCCCAGAAAATGAATCAATTTCCTCCTAGTAATGGCACTACTACAAATGTGTATTCAAACATTCTTTTCCACTCACCATGGCATCAACAACCCCACTTTGATGAGCCCGGTTTATCAAACTCTTCACAGGCTTCATTGGTGACAAATCCTTCCTCTATAACCAGCAGCAGCAATTCAATACTCCACAATCCATACAATTCATATGGTTATGGGCTACCTGCATCATCATGTCAGGTTTCCTCTAGCAACATGAGTGCCCAATATGCAGTCTCAAGCAATGTTATTGGAGCAAATTTATCTGAGAATTTATATCAACCACAACCAAATATCCCAACGGGTTCTAACACAATTTCCAGCTTGGGTTCATCACAAATATCAAGTGCTTTACCAGCAGCTCCTAATGAGCGACCAGACCTTGAAGATTTTTATTCACGTTATTATGGTAAGACTACAAATTTGTTAATGAAAGCTACTAAACCCAAAGATGCTTCGTCTACCTACCAGCCATTGCGTTCCAGTCAGAGTGTGCCTGATCTCACTGCCTTGGAAGACCAAGAGGTTAGTCTTCATACTTCATTACCACGTTTTTCTTGACTTCGTTTCATGTGTGTCTGTCATCAAAAATTCAAACCTTAGTATAGAGCACTTCTAAACATCCTAGTAAGTTGAAATTCGGCATGCATGCTTATGCTGCCTAACAATTCAAGATTTGATCATCAGAAATAATAATTAAAAAAATTTTTTTTTTGAAAAAAAAAAATTAAAAAAAAAAAAAAAACACTAAAAATTCACGGTTTGGAATTGAGTTTTTTCTTGAACATCCACACTTGCCAACCCTTGAAATTGATTTGAATTGCTAAAATTGCTAACTAAAAAGTAGAAAATAAATAAATGTAAAAATATTTTTAAAAACCATGTTTTTCTGGTTTTTACAAAACTAAAAATAGGGAAATAAAACAAATAAAAAACTTTTAAAAACCACGTTTTCTTAACGGACAAAAAGAAAAACATTTACTCCTACATAACATTACATAACATTTTACATAACTTAAATGTTATATATGAGTAAATGTTTTTCTTTTTTGTCCGTTATGAAAACAAACGTGGTTTATAAAAGTTTTTTTATTTGTTTTATTTTAGGTTTAATTAATCAGGATTGGTTTTCAAAAATCTTTATTTTATTTAATTTCATGGAATTTGATAGAATTTTATTTTTTTGCAGGAGTTTTAGGGATTTTTAAGATAAAATTTTAATTTTGTGTCCCAGTTTCTGGCCAGTGATTGTTTCTCAAAGAACTTATCCCATCAGTAATTAGGTATTAATTTTGAATATGTATTTTTGGTAAACTTTTTGATCTGTAGTTTTGATTTTCAAAGCTAACCATTGCTTATCCCTCCACTGATGCTCAAAAATCACACTTGAATATCCCACAATTGCTAACTAATACAATAGCCTCTGTTCACTATATGGAAGTAAATATATTTTCAACTTTATTGATGCAAAATATCTGCTGTGCACAACAAAGAATTAATTGATTATTCTATTGCAGGTGTCAAGAATTTCAGACGGAAGTGAAGCTCCTGTCAACCGTCCACTGTCCTCTGTTGTGCCACAGTCCAGACCATCCAGCACTGGTCCAGCTCTCACCCAGACACCACTTGAACGCCATGGTTTTGGCCCAGCACTGGACCATCCGAGACCCAGCAGCCGTACACCATCCAGCACAAACTATTATGGCAGCGGTCCGACTGTTCCCACATTTTCTTCACCCACTTCCCCATCCAATAACTACAGAGGCTTTAGTTCTGCTGCATCCAATATTAACACGTCTCATGGCAGTAACTTGAGTAATAATTATGGCCAGTATCAGATACCTGGTAACAACATAGCATTTGTACAATGCAATGTCCTGAACTCGCACCCGATAAATCCCACTTCTAGTGTATCTTCTTATCAACATATAAATTCATATTCAATGCCTCCTCGCTTACCTACACCTGCCTCGTACATGGTAACAACTACTCACAACCTTGTACCACTCACCACTACAACCACTACAAGAACCACAAGTAATACTACTGTGGAGACAAGGAATCCTGCAGTAGAAACAAGAAATCCTTCAGTAGATACACGTAATCCTACAGTATATCCTAGCAACACGGGCAGTAGCAGTAGCGCCAGTAGCATTTCTGAGTCAAACTCAGGGTTTGTTCAGAGTCCGCTCGAGTTGCCTGATCCCTTCTCAGAGCTTGACTCTGAAGTGCAGAGCTTGGTCTGCTCTGTGGCAGAGATGGGCTTCCCTAGAGCCAGAGTAGCCAGAGCTGTCCAGAGGCTTGGCACGCAACATAAAAAGGTGTTCATATTTACTGCTATAAATTTGGTAACATAACTTATAGGTATTATATATTATATAAACATAACTGTTTACCTTCTATTCACACAAGTTAAACATATTTTCTAATGATATGATAGAATCAACAATGATTTTTGTTATTATTGTTTTACAAAGCATTATTCTACAAATTTTTTGTCGTGGCATCTGGTTGGAACAAATTTTGAGGGCATGTTACACATAAAATTAATAGCAAGTGAAAAATAAATAGACACAAGAAAGGATGGGAATGGAAAATAATATTTATCGAAATGAATAGTCACCTCTTTGATGTAGATGACGTGCAGCAGTGATGTATGTAGATGATGTGTATCTCCTCACTGATGTTGATGTGCCTTATGTATGTAAATGATGTGCAGCCCATCATTAATGTTGATGATGTGCAGCCCTACATCATAAATCTGATGATGTGTAAGCCCATAACTGATGTTGATATGCCTAATGACTCTTGATGATGTGCAGCTGTGATGTATACATGTAGAGGATGTATATCTGTGATGTATGTAGATGATGGGTAGCCCATCACTGATATTGATGTGCCTAATGACTACAAATGATGTGCAGCTGATCGAGGTGCTGCTGGAGCTGCAGCGGCTGGAGGAGGAGGGGCAGGAGGCTGGTCGTGCTGAGGTCGCCTTCTACGCGCACCTCGGCGACCTGCACAAGACCAAGCAGCACCTCGACACCTGCAAACAGGTTAGCTGGACACCTGTAAACAGGTTAGCTGGACACCTGTAAACAGGTTAGCTGGACACCTGCAAACAGGTTAGCAGGTTAGCTGGTAACCTGCTAGGCAGTTTAGCTGGCCACCTGCAAGCAGGTTAGCTGGACACCTGCCAGGAAGTTACCTGGTGCCTGAATTACTTGCTGACAGGTTATGTGGTTACCTGCAAGCAGGTTATATAACCACTAATGACGCTTCTAGAAGGTTACCTGGTTTCTCATGCACCTGGTAGCAGGTTAGCTGATGAACCTGCTAACCAGTTAGCTGGTCACTGAATTAATTACAAGCCGATTACCTGGTGCCTGATGAACCTGTTAACAGGTCTCTTGGTCACTGATGCACCTGCTCAGCAGGTCGGCAGGTTACCTGCGCGTGCCCGTTTCAACTAGTCATTCAATTCAGTTTTAAATTTTCATTGTAAAATCTAATATAATGTAATAATGAATAATGGTTTAAAAATTTAATTTAAAAAAAAATTTAATTTCATTCAAATTGCTAAGATATTATTAATTTTATCACTGAAATTGCATGGATGGACCAAGGATTTCCCCAAAAACTTGTATTTTTCTCTATTACGTACTCATTTTCTGTAGATTTTTATGAGCCATTTTTTTACTAAAATAAAATGATGAATCGTCTTCTTCTCGCAAAAAAATTTTCTAGAGTTTTTCCATTCATAAAAATCTAGGTTCTTTTCTTTCACAACAAAAAATTTCTAGATTTTTTTGTTCCCAAAAAATTGTCTAGATTTTTTTCGTTTAAAAAAAATGTTCATGCGCTTGCTCACCAAAATACACCAGATATAGGACATTTTTCAAATGTTTTTACTATAAAAAAAGTTTCCAGCAAAGGGTACAGGTTTTTTTTCCTTTTTTTTGACGAGTCTCGTTGGTTGTTGCATCGTGATTTTGAGCTGTTTTTTTTTTCATATTGCAGTATTAATGGCATCGTGGCACCATTCATCATACATCTGTTAGTGAGTTTTTTATTTTATTTGTTACATGCAATGCATAGTGTTGTGTTACAGCACCGCTTCTACGTGGCCACCGTTGCACTGTTGTGTTATTTTGTAAATTGTATTTATACATCACTATTGTCTATGTCACGTCTGTCTACGGCACATTTGTCTACGGCACATTTGCCTATTTTGCATTGCTGTACTTCACAGTTGTCTACTTCACAGTTGTCTACCGCACAGTTGCCTATTACACTGTTATTCTACTTTACAGTTGTTTATTTTACAGTGCTATACTCCGCAGTTGTCTACCTTACAGTTGTCTACTTCACAGTTGTCTGCTTTACCGTTGTCTGCTTTACCGTTGTCTGCTTTACAGTTGTCTACCTTACAGTTGTCTACCTTACAGTTGTCTACCTTACAGTTGTCTACCTTACAGTTGTCTACCTTACAGTTGTCTACCTTACAGTTGTCTACCTTGCAGTTGTCTACCTTACAGTTGTCTCCCTTACAGTGCTCTACCTAACAGTTGCCTGCTTTACAGTTGTCTACTTTACAAGTGTCTGTCACAACGTTGTGTGTGTTGCAATTCTTGCCTTTCAATTGTCTACTGCACTATAACTCTGTTTTAATGTTTTTGCTTTAATATTATCTAATTAAAGATTGTATACATTTATCTTTGTGTGCGTTGTTCTGAATATCAAAGGTGGTAATGATACATACATCAACTATACATCAAGCTACACAATACATCAACTATACATCTAAATATTTTTATACGCTAAATATTTTTTATAATAAGCTATATATTTTTATACACTAACTATTTTTATAAACTTAATATTTTTATACACTAACTATTTTATAAAGCTAAATATTCTCATAAACTTGTTATTTTTATAATTTAATTATTTAATTTTATTGCAGCTGGTGTCGCTGGGATTTGAGGAGTCGCGCGTCATGGAGCTCCTGCTGCGCCACAACAACGACAGAGACCGCACGCTGGAGGACCTCATAGCGTGAGACCGCACGCTGGAGGACCTCATAGCGTGAGACCGCATGCTGGAGGACCTCATAGCGTGAGACCGCACGCTGGAGGACCTCGTAGCGTGAGCACCGCACGCTGGAGGACCTCATTGCGTGAGGGCTATTCCATGTTGAAATATGTTCATAAATTTTCCTCAAGTTTTATGTGCTGTATTTTTTTGTATATTAGAATTTGACAAATTCATCAGAAACAGGCTCAGTATTTAAATACCAAATCGTCGCTACATGAATTTTCTAAGTGCTGCAGTCACATAACTTTTCAAATTTATGCTTCTTCCCTATTTTTTGATTTTAAAATTATTGGTCAGAGAACACAGCTGGATTATATACAAGTTTGAGAACGGATTTAACATTTTGAAAGGCGAATTTAGATGAATATTAAATCCCTTGGAAATCTCAGCATCTAAAAAATGTCCCAAAATATCATCAATATCGTCCACTATACTATGATGTATCGTTTAAAATCATTACTTGTTTTTCAATTAAATCTGTAGCTCTGAAATGGGGTAAATAGCTTTAGGGTAGAAATTAAACCCGGGGGTTTATTTAACATTTTTTAGGGGTAATGTTCAAGGCCCCAGAACAAAATTTAACTTTCGTCAATGTTGACTCCATTTTTAAGGCTTAACATTCGTATTGTGACATTCGTGATTGTGTCATAATGTAAAACATGTATAGAAGAACTTGCTAAAGTAATTATTATTATTATTATTATGATAATCAATGCTCCTTATTAATTATACTTGTGCCATTTTGAGTTCTCTGAAAGTTTTATTTCCTGCTTAAGTGATTCGTTTGTTTATTATTTAGGTTTTAGGTTGTATATCCTAATTCCTTCATACATATAATATCTGTAAGTAAATGTCGATTTAGTTTATCAACTTATTGAATAAGTATTCACTCTGTATTGTATTCACTCACACCGTATTAATGCATACTCTGTATTGTATATCTTTCATAGAAATATTTCTGTTCTGTATTGTATGTCGCTTATTGACTCATCTCGACTCTGTATTGTTTGTATTTATTTCTGAATTTAATTCTCGAATGAGTAATCTGTGTAATGTTCAGCAGGATAGTTTCGACTGTTTCAGGATAGTTTCTACAATTTTCCAGGATAGTTTCAACTGTGTTTTAGGATTTCTTCTGTGTTTCAGGATATTTTCGACTGTGTTTCAGGATAGTTTCGACTGTGTTTCAGGATAGTTTCGACTGTGTTTCAGGATAGTTTCGACTGTGTTTTAGGATAGTTTCAACTGTGTTTCAGGATTGCTTCGAATGTGTTTCAGGATAGTTTCGACTATGTTTCAGGATAGTTTCTACTGTGTTTCAATATGGTTTAGATTGCGTTTCAGGATAGTTTCAATTGTGTATCAGGATAGTTTCTACAGTTTTTCAGGTTAGTTTCGACTGTTTAGTTAACTGAAACACAGTCGATAGGTTCGACTATGTTTCTGGATAGTTTTAGTTTCGACTGTGTTTCTGGATAATTTCGACTGTCTCTCTGGATAGTTTCAATTTAGTTTCAGAGCAGTTTTTACTGGGTTTCGTTATAGTTTCATCTGTGTTTCTGGACATGCAAATCTTTCTATATGTACATACCATTCTTTCTAAATTCTATGTACATCTTTTACGTATCGTTCAATACTCATCATCAATAGTTTTACTCATCACTCTGAGAAAGTAAAGGCTGAGGTACTTGTGTTCATATAAATATAACGTGGATATGGTAGCAACCTGTAAAAACTTTGAAAATACTGTGAATATAAGTACCTTTATAGGTATTTCTAAACTTACTTTGAAAGGATTGTATATATTAAATATATATTCCCTAGTGTAATATTTTTAATGCTTGTAGTGATGACCAGACAGCGAAAAGTTTACCTTGGCAACAAAATGGTCAAAAATTAAATAATATCTATAATAAATAAATAAAAAATTAATTAACAACATTGTCATAAATCTTCAAGCAAGAAAACTTTTTTATTTTCCAAGAAGAAATAATAATAAATTTTCTTACGCTATAAAAAAACGTAAATGATCATTATTAATAACAGGAACCATCATTATACATTATCATTATATTAATATATTGCTATATAATCATCATCATCATATATTAATTATATACCGCATCGTCGGAACTGGTGTTTGTTATATAGTTAAGTGCCCTATATGTTCCTTATAAATTTTTTTTGTAGCATGTTTAAGGTTAATTTTCTCCTTTTTAATATTTTTCGATTTTTACAGAAGACACAATGTGGTTTTTTTCATTATATGTGTTTACATTTTGTGTTAACACATAAAATGTGTAAAATTGACGCAGATATTTTTTTCGTTTTGGTTCTATGGTCAGAAAATGTAACATCCAAATTCTTTCACATTCCATTGCCAGTAATTTTATTAAGAAAACTTTGGAAATAAGAAATTTTTAATGTGTTTATAAAATAATTATTTTCCAGATGCTTCTTGGATTAAGTAAGAATTATGTGTACAAGAAGGAACAGCTAAGAACATTAGTTCGTATTCATTGATATTTTCTTTATAATTCTACATTATTTTACTTCCATTGAACAACCGCTAGCAATTAGCCTGTAGAATACGATGTCAATTACTATACGACATCCGTATATTAAACACATACATTTTTAATAAATTATAAATGGATCGCTTTATATGTATAATCGCATCTACTGTTCTCACTCCACCCCAACATTTTTCTAATCAATTAAAGTTTTACTAACTTCTGTATCTGCTAATCTAAATTTCCAACAATATAGTAAAAAAAACGAACCAATCTTGATTTAATTCAATATCATTTCATTGATTTATTAACTTCGGTATCATATTTCGATGTGCTTTTCTTGCTAAATTACCCACTATATAACGAAAAAAAAAAAAACAGGATACATTGGTTTAAGTTAATATTACTTCGTTTAAGATCACTTAGTTAAATAAATGTGTCATATTGTACAAATATTTACACACTTCATTATCCACCACGCAAGCAGTGTACAAAGTATCAATAATACGCAAAGATGTAAAAATTTGTAAAATTTTACTTATTTTTTGAGTGATGCATTGGCCCGATATCGCTGACTGAGTTCTAGGAATCTGAATAATTTACCGTTTTTATTAATTTGATATATTAGTTTTTTTTTTATTTCATTTCATATTGTTTTGAAATATTACTCTGAAAAAACGCGGAGAAAATTTGTCCGAATAACTATGCACTTTTTTGACCCACATTTGCTGCGCTGTGAAAGGGCGTATCAGTGCTACGGGGAGAAGGTGTGCTATTATTTGGACATTATAATCCATTTATTTGTCTCTGTGTAGACGAAAAAACGCATTGACGCAAACGAAAAACAAACTCTTGATTTACGATGATGTAAGTGAGCTTGCTTTACTCCCTTTATTTAATTGAGTGTTGGCTTGCTTTGTTGCTGTTACTTTATTGTGATTTTTTTTTTACTTTTTCATGTTTTTGGCTTGATTTAATTTTGGATGAAAAAGCTCTTAATTTTTCTTATTGCTTTGAAGCGTTTTTCGTAATTGATTATGGCACTAGAAGAAATCATTGTAACTTTGTGCAAATAACGATGCATTTTTTTCTCTTGCATGGGTCATTCTTACTTTTGAAAAATTTTCAGTAGAAAACTTGTTAATATTTTGGTCAGCGATTTTCGGTTCCTTAGTTAGTGCAGGGGAGGTTCCAGTGATCATTATTATTTTTTAAGACATGCATTGCAATACATTATAAATAAATAAATATATGATCATTATTATTTGAGTAATTTTTAATATCCTTTATGATATCGACGGTGATTTACATGCGCTTATACCCCTCAGGGGGGACTTCTGACGGGTGTCTGTGCTCGTCAGAAGTCCTATGGGATTTCGCGCTCCTAGGGGGATTGTTCCTGAGCGCCCCACCGCTGAGCTCGCGGTGTCTGACTGTAGGTCTCAGTTGTGGGGTTAAGTTATTATGTAGGTAGGATTCCTTACATTTCCATTACCACCTTTATGGTGATGTTCATCTTGACTTTCGGTGCGAGATAGCTTAATAGCTGAAGCGCTAGTAAACATTTGGACACTAAACTAAACTAACTACATGCGCTTATCATGAGATGAAAGAAACGTGCAACAAACGAAAATATTATATTGGTAAAATAAATGATGAAAATAACGTGACATAGATTTTCGTTACGTGGAATTTACAGTTTTGTAGAAAATTCGCTTACTTTATTCGAGTTCGCTTCTCGTTTATGGCTGAGCGTGGCTACGGATATGTTACAGGTCGCTAGTCATAACGAAATATTTTGTAATATAATATTTGCGATCGAATCACCTCCCTGCTTGAGTTCTGTCGAAGATTTTATTATTGATGAATATTTCAAATATTCCTTAGTTATCTTCAGTTATTTTTTGATTGAAGATGTTATATTCCTGTAAATAAGTCAGTGATATTTGGTCTTATTACAGATAATTTTGGCAACTTTTTCATGAAAATAAATTGCTTTATTTTTGATAAGTTATTGATAGTATATCTGACTCCATCAATAATACAAAAAATTTACCAAAGCTAAATGTGGAAATTAGTCGAGAGAAAAAAACATAATAAAATTGTTATACATAAAATTTATTCGTTTTCTGCAAACAGAAAACTTTGATAGAAATCGGGCGGTAACGCGTAGCACTCAGGATAAAGAGAGATTTTTGTCCAAATAGTGGTGCAATTTTCTCCCTTCCGTGCGCCATCTTGACCCACTTCGGCTGGGTACAAGGGACGTATTAGTGACACGGACAGAAAGTGTGTCTTTATTAGGACAATACGACGCATCTATTTCTTTGAGTGATGGTGGCTGGAAGCGGAGCTGCGGTGTGCATGCACAACCAATCATTTAGAAGCCAATCATTTACGCGTCAGTCGTTCAACATCCTCAGTGCTATTCCTACCGAATCATCTATTGTGCGCTGCAAGTCAGGCAGGGTAAATGAGGCAATTGTAGGCGATTACCGAGATGATTTCACCGCTTCACTGTCTTCATTGCGAGACTCAGTAATTTTTTTTGTTACCCTAAAACTAGAAAATTTTACCCTAAAACCAGTCTTTATTTAACCCTAAATCGACGTTTTTACCCCCAAATCTGCATCTTTTTCCATAAAATAAGCCATTTTACCCCACAATTACCCGCTTTTTTACCCTAAAGTTATCGTTCTATCAGCCTCTACTAACTAGCACCTCGCGCCAGAGAAATGAAAAAGATCTTGTCAAGATAGCGATGCATTTTTTACTTATAGTGTCTCATCCTGACCCAGTTTGGTTCTGCATCATAGCCAAGTGCTCGAGCGAAGTGTGCCTCTATTTGGACAACATGACCCAACCGGTTATCTGAGTGCGAGAATATTTTCACTGTAAATTACTAGTGCGCCTGACGGTCTCCCCTCACAACAATGATCGATCATTGCGCTAGTTTTGCCACTAAGACTTATTCAAAGGAATTAATGCACGGTAAATGTGAGTTAATGCACGGTAAATGATATAATGAGTGTATGGTTAATGATAATGAAATAAGGAAAATCATGCAAAACTATTCGGATCTAACAGCTGCCTCGGTGATCATAGGGTAAAGAGGCACCG